TTAGCTGCAAGAATGTATCCTTTTATATTCAAGCTCTAGTTCAAACTTAGATATTATTTTCCAATCACTTAACAAGTGATATAGGTCCTTGCCGTTATAACGCAATTCAGCTACAATTCTCGCAGGACGCACAAATTTTTGAGTAGTCAAGCAAACCTAACCATGTTTTCTTTCCGCTGACCACAGAATTTTCGTCTCTTTTACTGCAAAGTTGATTAATGAAATCAAGCAACTTACACTCAATCAACATGCATCTACGACAAATTGTTAAATGAAAATGACTGTTTTAAAATCGAACGTTTGATATCTTGTGAATTTCTTTAAATTGATCCCACTTTGCGAATACATTTGAATTATCACAAAGGCGTAAAGCAATCATTTTTTTTGCGCTGAAAATAGAGGACAAGGTTATGGCGGAGCCATCACCAGGGCGTGATGCAATATGACACTATTAATTCTTAATACCACATTCAAATGGCAGCGAATGTAACTATGTTGATCAACATCATTTCAGGAAGAGGGAAAATTCTGGTGAAAGACATTGAAATAGGTACCTACGACAAAAATAAGAAGCCAATTTGCACTGATGGAAAGCCACAATTTACCTTCCCCGGACATTTCAAACTATTGAAGGGTAACGTAACTTGGCCATCCTTCCATTTGACTTTCTCTTACCTTTAAAATGCAGGAACTGTGGAAGTGAAGGAGCCTGTGAAGGATGGCGCAAAGCCGCTCCAGCTGGCGGTCAGTCTTGAGAAAAATTCGTTCTTGGTCGGAGTTGTATGTGAGGAGGGAAAGAGCAAAAATCAGTTTGTCCCTAATGAAATGTGGTAAGACTTCTTTGATCACAAATTGAACTGCGCTATGGCGAAAAAGATGTTAAAACTTTATCCTTTTCTTTAAGAAGTAATTTTTTGCTTGTAACGCACTGAAACAACATATGTAATTTTATTTTCTTTTCAAAGATATAAGTTCGTTGCAGCACATTTGACCTTTGCAAAATCTCTTCATTC